AACAAACATGACAAGAACCATTAGAAATGTAATAGGAACAAGAGGAACATGATTCCTTACTTTGATTGTGTTTTCTTGCAATTATACAACAATAAACACGTTAGTAACTTCAAAAAAAAAATAATAAAATAGAAATTAATTTAAATCAAAGTAAAGTTGATTTGGGCTCAAACCCTCAAACAGTTCTACCTTTCACGCTTTGGCTTTAGTATAGAACTTCGGATAAAGTACAGACTCCGGGAGTGCTTAATGGATGGATTATGAGAATAGGGAAGACAAGTATTTAGGCTAAAGCATAAGAGAGAAAGAGAGAATTATTTGGTGCCCCGAGACTGTGAAATTAGCCTCGTATTTATAGAGGAAATGAGAGGAGTGGGGTCCGGAACCCTAGCTATGAGGCACCGCGGAAGAATAAATTGCTGTGTCACGAAAAAATTGTCGTGGCACGGTAATGCTGAAAATGCGCAGTACGAAATTCTATCTGTTTCAAAAAAAAAACCGCGTAAAAAGATAAAATCGGGTCAAAGAAATTGTCGTGGCACGGTAGAGTTTGTCGTGGCACGGCAGAGATTGCCGTTGTGCGACAGAAATTGTCGTGGCGCGACAGAAACTCCCGTGGTGCAGCAATTGTGTTTTTGGAATATTCTTCTAAATTCATTTTTATCTTTTATTTACATTAAGTACAGGATAATTAGACGTCATTTCAGCTATTCCGAACTTATTTCAGGTTTAGGGTTTTGATATTTATTAATCGGGCTCAATTAATAAATAAATGAAATGGATTAAAATGTTTTGGGCTATAATGAGGTTTGAACAAAGCTTGACTAAATACTTGGATTGAAAATGTGGACTGATTTGTTGACAGCGTTTGACTGAATATGGATTTTAAGCTCTCCCGAAATTAAATACTTAACCCGACCAATAATGACGGTGAAAGGTTGTTTATCATCGGGTTTGGTTTTGGGGAGACATTTTTAGATGTCTATAGTACCTTTTCTCTATCTTCTTTTTAACAAATGATTGAGTATTTGGGTTTCCTATGTCTTTTTAGTACTTCCTCCTCCCTTTCCTTAAGTCCTATAAAATTAGTCAAACGGGAACTTTATTTAAGGACGGAGAGAGTAATAATTAGTAATTAATAATACTGATAATAAATGAATAAGAATACATATTGATATCTTTTAAGATCATTTTGCATAGTTGCAGCCAACAGCTAACTGCTGATTTTACCAAATATATTTACATACAACAAATTGTCAAACAACTAGTACAAACAGTCAATGCTAACAGTCAGTCAAACAAGCCAATTTAAACAACCAGTAGCCAACTGTCAATTGCCAAACAAAGCTTGTATGTTTATCTTGTGAATGAAATTTTGTAGATAGTGGTAGACCGGTAGCTATTACTCACTATGACTCTTAAATTTGATTAAATTTTGTAAACACTTCCAAGATCTAACCTGCTTTTGATACCATGACAAATTAGAGGTAAAGTGATAATAGATTAGCTTGATTATTATTATCAATAAGTAGAGTATTTATACAAAATCTACGTTTATAAGATAGAAAACAATCTTCCTAAAAGATATACTGCCATAACTATAAATCCTTCAGATATATTTACTAAATAATATCTTTTACATAAATAAACCTAAATATATTATTCTTCTAATAAGATGTATACAGAAAATATATCACAAATATATTTTCCGATAATATTGATTATCTCGGCCCTTTATTTGAGTAAATAAGGCCTTCAGCCTTAAGATTCTTAGTCATCCAAGCTTGTAGATCACTAGTGGAAAAAGATGGATAATTTGTGGTACCACCACTGATCTCCATAGCTCTTTAGCAGTAGGACAATCTCGAAGCATATGTAACAAAGTTTCATCAGCATTAACATTGCATCGATGACAGCGTGGGTCATCCGTCAAGTGGCGCTTGAGCATTATATTCGGTGTAAGGTTGCCGGAATTAATTAAATAGGTGTAAGGTTGTCGGAATCAATTAGATATGGGCCACCTTATATTCGGGTTTTTCTTAAAAAAAAAAAAAAAAAAAAAAAAAAAAAAAAAAAAATGGTACTGCGTATCAAATTTATGTGTCCCCACCTTTTGCATTCTTTCTTTGAAATTGTAATCAGAGTAAGCATCACATGCCTTCCAGATTTTTGTCTCAAAATACTAGTTTGCAGAAGACTAACATGATGTGAACTTTTAAGAATGAGCCTTAATAGTCCTAGGTCTTCAATAAGGGCTTTCTTGTTTTCATTAAGGGCTTTCTTTCTATAGTACAACATCACTGTTAGAAAGTAAACAATCTCATCCTCAACAAATCCAAATCGGAAATCACATACCTTTATCAAAATTTTCTTGTTCTTATAAGCAAACCCATAAAGTTATATGAAAACATCATGTCCGTAATGTATAGTCAGCAAAAAAATATCCATTTACGTACCAAAAGTACTGTTGTACAAATTAAATTAAATTTTCTAAAGGAATATATGGTAGGTGTACAATAATTATCTAACTAATTATATATCAAAAGCAACCTTATAGGACACATGTTATACAAATTGAAAATAATAGTAGAAATTTGGATTGTAAAATATTTTCTTAATATACTTTGAATGTTGCTTTTAAAATATGTCATTTATAACTCATGTATGTAGCTGATAAAATGCATGGACTTTGTATTTGAGTTTGCTTATGGAGGGTAGTTGTATTCAATTGGAAAAGGTCATGAGACATGGTTTAGTTTATGAGAAAGTGGCTGATAATTTTGATATATATTGTTATCGTTATTCGCATGTTGAAAAAAGTTGTTTAGAGCTTAAATTGTCTTATTTTTCGGCCACATTAGTGTCGAGAATAGGCGATCTACCTACTCTGTAGTTATTAGACTATTCAGGCAATTGAGTTTACTATTGTTCCGGATAGATTAGTATTTGATGGTGAAAATCATGAGCAACAATTTTCATTAATGTTAAATTTGGCAAACACACATTCTCATACACATTCTTTTGTTCTGGTTTTGGGTTCGTTGATATGAACTAAATAATTTATAAGTGAATTTCAAATTAACCTGACAAAACTCGTAATTGAATATAAATATGTTAATTACGTTAATCATTAGAAAATCATATAAATGCAAATCAGTAATAACTTTATCCTGTTACATGAGATAGATACGTTAAAATTATTTACCTATTAACAAATTACATGAAACTGTATGTATTATATTGACTTATGGAGATGTAAGGTTTCATAAGTCTTATGGAGAGGGAATGAATAAATCATTACGCATTAGAGTAATGATTGACTTGCGCAAGCCTCTTAAAAACAGGTGGAGATAAAGATGAGAGCGAGGATGAGTTAAGGAGAGTTTCAGAATTGCTTATGAGAAATTGCCATTATTTTGTTATGTGTGTGGCATGATGGGACATGGAGATAAAGATTGTAATAGTAGATTTGGGGTCTCCTCTCCCAAAATAAATTTTGGTGACATATTGCGTGTTTCGTCCCCATGGTAGGCAGCAAAAAATGAGCTGATACAGGACAATGATAGTCCAAATCCGAGAGCTAGACGTTTATTTGTTACTAAAGATAAAGGAGTATCACTAAGGAAATACAGGAGGATATAAGGACTATGGCTCATCAATTAGAAGAGGTGCTAGTTACTGATGGTACCGATTTGACGAAGGGAAGTACTGCAAGAGGAAAAGAAGATAATGTGAGGGTGGAAGGAGGAAGTAAAACATTGACACATAAAAATTTATCTAGCCAACGCACCGATAGGACCTTTCCTAATCAAACTCTTTGGCCGATACAATTTCAAATATATAGGGGGAGTTTCAATTGAGAAAAAGAACAAGCAAAAAAACCTAGTTAAAAGTAGAGGTCGGAAAGTTTCAACAATGAGTGGGAAAGAAAAAAATGAAGGAAAAAGGAATGTGAAAAGAAAGGAGCTTATGCCAGTGGAAGGAGAAGAATGTATGTATAATATCTCACATAAGAAACTGAAAATAAGGGAGGAATAGAACAGAAACTGAAAATAAGGGAGGAATAGAACAATGGAAGGAGGAGAGTGTATGTATGATAACTCATATAAGAAACTGAAAATAAGGGAGGAATTCAACAGTAGTATGATGGAGAGTGAGAGTGGTGATGATACTTATAATAAGATGAGGTGGAACCTTTTAACTCAGGCAAGCTGATCTCAGTTCGTGAATGTAATGTGAAAAGCCCAACTCATAGGGCTTTCGGTGACCAATGAGGTACATATTGTCATGGAACTGCATAGGTTTGGGGAGTCCCTTTGCAGTGAATATGTTGAGGCATTTGATCCCTACTGAAAATCCCCAAATAATTTTTTTATCCGAGACAAAATTGAAGAACATGAAATGGAACAAGTGAAGAAGAAAACGAGGTTTGATTGTTTATTGGCAGTGGACTGCATGCTCAGGGGAAGGAAGGAAAATAAGTGGTGGCTTAGCTCTACTATGGCAAAGCAATCTTAAAATTGAAGTGATTTCCTTTTTTGCATATTTTATTGATGTTATGGTGGAGGATGATTAACAGGGGTTGGAGGTTTACTGGGATCTATGGCTTTCCAGAAGAGGAAAGTAAATTTAAAACAGGACGTATATTGAAAGATTTAAATTATGATCAATCGTTGCCTTGTGCGGAGGAGATTTCAATTTAATGCTAGTAGCAAGTGAGAAGAAGGACAGGGATGATTTTGATATGCACACTACTACTATGTTCAGGGAACTGGTGGAGGACTGTAATATTATGGATCTTGACTATGTGCATGATTGTTAAACTTGCCTTGGCATTCTTTGAGACTTTGTGATGCATGTTTATTTACAAACATGATTGAGACTTCTCTATCACTCTTAGAGCTTCAAATTTCACATGATTTTTATTCGGTTTGGGTAAAAAGATACACTTTAAACTTGTCGAGTACAAAAGACCAACAATAAGTTTCAAATTTTATAAATTCAAAAAAGCAGTAATTTATTGATCGGGATTATAAATTCAATAAAGGGCTAACCAGGCCAATAAATGTCTTACAAATTCAATTGGCAATAGCTTGCCTGAAAATTGAAAAAATTGGTATTAAATAGATTTGTCCGTCTTCATTGAACAATTAATCCACCTAATATCTTTAGGTGACTTGATGGAAAGAACAGGATTAGTCTCGAAAAAATTGGCTGGACGAAGCTCAAATCCAATGCTAACTGTTGGCATAATTGGGAAATCTTCTTGACTTGTAACATGATGGATACCCATAGTGTACCATAATACAATGTCCTTGTTTTCTATTTCTCTATCTCTGTACATTAACAGAATAAAGTAATTGTCAATACCATTTTGCTCTAGTATCATAAGAATAAAAATAACATAATCCCAGTTTTTTTTTCTACATCAGCGGAATTGCATGAGAAATTCTAAGAAAATATAACTATTGTACTGCATAATTTTGTAGAAATTAAAAACGAAAATACCCTTTTACATAATTTTGTAGAAATTAAACACGAAAATACCCTTTTAATTTTCCTTGAAATTCCTATAATACTTGTAACTTTGCCCTATCAATTCGTTTTTTCAACCCTTTAGAGTCAAATAGGTTAGGTATCACCTTTAAAAACACTTTTATATGGTAATTAAATTGCATAACTAGCTGCTATCTTGTTATTTATTTTTATAGTCACATTTTTCTATATTCACCTTCCCCATATACATCAATGTATTGAGGCAAAAAAAAAATGTATTGAGGCAACCTATAATGACTAATAATTAGGGGTGTCAATTCGGGTAAACGGTTCAGTTTCCGGCTGGGTTTATTGGTTTCGGGTTATAATGGGTCGGTTTATGACGGGTTGAAATGATTACCGGGTCGGTTTTGAAAATTATTAGGTCAGTACGATTTGTTTTTTTTTTTATTGCGGTTTCTATTCAAGTCAGTTTATAATCGGTTCGGGTTGAACCGGGTCGGTTTGAAAACGGGTTTAACCAATTTAAAGCGGGTTTTGGTTCAAAACATTTCGGAACCTAATCGGGTCGGATTGCAATCGGTTCGGTCATAATCAGTTTGGGTTAAACTGGGTCGGTTTCAAAACGGGGTTCGGTTCAAAACAGATCGAGTGAAATCGGGTCGGGTCATTATTGGTTTAGGTCATAATCGCTTTGGATTAAATTGGTTCGGGTCAGATTATAATCGAGTTAAGTCTTAAATAAGTTGAGTTTATTGAGTAGTGGGTAGGAACGGATCAGGTTATATCGAGTTAATCTTAAATAAGTTGAGTTTATCGAATAGTGGGTTGAAACAAATCAGATTAAAAACATATTGGGTTACGGGTAGTAAACGGTTCGGTCTCAACGGTTTATGGGTTGTAAACGGTTTGATTTTAATGGGTTACGGGTTGAAAACGGTTCGGTTATAACGGGTTGCAGGTTACAAATGGTTCGGTCACAGCGGGTTACGGGTTGGAACGGTTCAGGTTTATCAGATTTTTGCCAAGTTTAAACAGTTTTCGGTTTAAAATGGGTTGAATTACTATCGGGTTAGGATGTCATCGGTTCGGGTTGTTTTCGGATTCGGGTTGTAATGGTTTGGCTTGATAACAAGTCGGGTCATTAACAGTTTGCACAAATTCGGTTCAGTTCAGTTTTGGCTTGGAAAATTTTGGGTCGGGTCGGTTTTCGATTCTAAAAAACGGGTTTATAACAGTTCGGTTACTTTTCGGATCGGTTCAAAATAGTCGAGTTTAACGGTTCGGGTTAGAAACTGACAGCTCTACTAATAATTTAAGGTAATGCTATATGTAGCCCTTAGGGCTTACAATAAACATTTAATACATTTCCTAATTTAGTACGAAGTATTAATTTAGGAATGCATAACAAAATCAGACAAATCAATGTAATTAATGCTATATTTTCATTTATTTATTTTCCATTTGTAACTCTTTACATGTAACTCTAAATACTATGTATAGCATATTTCATAATTTAAAGTTAATAATAATAACTCTAATAACATTCGCTAGTTTTTTAAAAAGTATTCATCTTAATACCAAGAAAGAAAACTGTTTTTGAATCAGCAAAACTTAAATTTGAAATTCTATGCTTGCTAGTACTAAATTTCTAATAAAGAAATCTTTTAGTATTAGGAATTAGGATGGTATTAACTAAGCACAGCTTAGTACCAACGAGCGTTGTCAAAGTCATTAATTGATGTCTCAAGCTATTTCATATAACGACAAAGCAAGTTCACAACCTCAAGCATTGCCAGTCATTAAGGACTCTAGTTAAACCTTTGTAGATATTAGGGATTATGGCGCGTGCGATACGCACTATGGCTAGTTTTTGGAAAGAGTTTTTATAATTGACCCTAATGCATTTGCATGGTATTTTATTGTAACTATTTGTATATAAATGATAAATGTGTTAAATATTGTATAACTATGTAATATTTATCGAAATCTTAATAGAGTTAATTTAGATTTAGTGAGATAGTGACAAAAATTATAAAGTTCTAAAATTGTAAATGTTTGATATATTGCTATCTTCTTCTTCTTCTTTTTTTTTTTTGAAGGTCAATATACAACTATCTAGGAGTACTTATTAGGGAAAATGTATTAACAATAATAATAATAAAATAAATAAATAAATAAATAAATATAAAAAAGTTCTTAAACTTATAAATGGGGGCAAATATGTAAAACATTTTTATGTACGGAAAATAAAACTTCTTAAACTTATAAATGGGGGCAAACATGTAAACAAACACTTTTAAGGGTATTATTGTCCGCGCACTATTCATAAGAGCTTTTTCATATTTTTGAAAAGGTGGGGAAACAATTTTAAGGTATTATTATCCGCACACTATTTATAAGAGCATTTTCATACTTTTGAAAAAGTAGGGATTAAATTGTGATTAGTTGATAATCATCTTTTCACTAACTAAAATGTAGATTTACCATAATTTAACACTCCGTAGGATCTTTAAGACGCTTGTTACGCGTAAATTAAGGTAAAAGGCAAAGTATATTATAATAGTACCTGAGGCTCCATGTCTCCAATGTATCATCACCATGACTTTGATCAGTAAACAAACCGCTAGCCCACTTTTCAGACTTATTATATGGTGTAACCATCACACTGTACTTTGTAAACCCGGCTCGAAGTTGAGGATAATCGTCTTCCAATAACAACGGGTGTATTGCTGGTCCAGGGACCAAACGATAACCTATTGTGTTCCCTAATTTTGTACGCTTATTTGGGTTAACAAATAAGATCTCGGCCGATTTTGATCCAAGATGAATTCTCCCATCGGATTCTCGTTGTGCTGTCTCACTCTTGACCGTCCAATAGCTCTTTCTAGGTGAATGATGTTTTTTAACGGCCATGATGTCAAGATGGGATTTGACCAAGGAATTATCTTGACCGTCCACATCTAGGTCAAGATGGAATGTCATGAAATGATCGTGGTAAGTACCAATTGTGTTAGGTGCCAACAATGTACCGTAGATTTCTTCATGGACTTGATCTTTGTAGGTGTAATTGGTCCCCTTGACTTCTAGTACGCCAGTCAATCCCACCTGGTTAAAATCATATTTATACGGAGTCTTGTTAAAATCATCTCAATATGTGGTTCCTATATATTATCTCGATATGTATGTATATGGGGTCTTGTTAAATACAAAACATATGTATGGGCTAAATATATTGAAATTATACATCTAGATTAATTAAGCAACATTATAGTCTAGCTAGTTGCTATAATTGTCATATCTTACAAGATTAAGAGAGAATAAATGTAATTTACCTCAACCTTGATTACACCACTTTGAAAGAATTCCCAATCAACTATGTAGTCGTAGTTTCCAACTGTTGTTACCATTCTGACCACTAATGTCAACTCTGGTCTAGACTCCGTTATCTGCAATATCAATATCAATCGTTAACATTGTTTAAATAATTTGTGGGCATTCTTAGAAAACCTCCCTCACGAGGAAAATTCTTAATGCTCATATAAACTTACAATTCGACCGGGAACACTAAATTCGGTGTGTCGCCACATTATGTCCCCAGCATAACGCTCGAATATGCAAAATACGTTGGGCATCTTTATAGGCTTGCCATCGTGACTAGTCATGTAACCATCCATAAAAGCAGCATTTTCAGGACAATCAACCTTGGGTTGAAGAGGCGCAACCGAAATACCAATGCCATATTCACCAGCATCAAAGTACGCTCGATTGTACCACTCTTCAGTAACGTCCATGTACGGCACGAACAATTCCGATATGAACCCTCGGTAGAGTACAGGCCTGCGCTCTTGCTTCTGAGAATCATATATTGATGCTGTTGAAAGGATTAGTCCAACTCTTGCGTCAAAGGATAGGTGAAACTCCCAATTTGCCCACCTAAACATAACACAATTCCATAGCATTTAAGTTAAGTAATTAATTGATCATGTGGGGTAAATTTTTGGTTTATGAACTTAACTCCGTACAATTGAGGGTGAAAGATTTGAACATATTATCTATTGTACACGAGTCTTCTGTTCTGACTATTAAGCCAAAAACTCATTGGTGACTTGCAGACTTCCAGTCTTAATTGGTTGTGATTTGGTTGTATAATCAATTAATCATTACACATTTTTTTTTATTTTGATGTTAAAAGTTAATTGTTACATAGTCACCATTTTTTATTTTATAGTAATGGTCCACTTTACGTAATTATGTGAAGTATTTAATTATACTTTTTTCTCATTTACTTACAACTTTCACTTTTTTGTTTCTTTTTCTTATAACATTTCACTCAACCTTGTTTTAAATTTTGAATAATTATTTTTTTCAAAAACTTTTAGATACACTTGGTCAATTATATAGTAACTTCTAGATACACTTAGTCCCAACATTCCAAGTTTGTGAAAATTCTCCGAAAGCCTCTGAAAGTGGGAGATAGAGACAGTTTTGGAAACTACTTGGGATGCCCAATGGAGGTTGATGGGAGGACACTTACGCAGTTCCAGACTTTAGTAGAAAAAATCCCAAAAAAACTTCTATCCTGGAAGTATCTAACACTATCACAAGCGGGAAAAATTGTCCTCATAAACTCTATCCTGACAACACTCTCAGGGCATATTTTAGCAGTCTATATAATGCCAAAGAAGATCCTTATGCTTAAAATTCTTCTGGACATCATCTATGGATAAGAACCCAATTTACTGGAGGAAGAAGGAAACCCTATACAAGGATAAGATAGCAAGGGGCCTAGGGCTTAGAAACATTGTTGTTTTCAACAAAGCCATGGTCTTCAAGTAGGCTTGGAGGATACACAACTGCAAGAGTCTCCTGATCAGTAGGGTGTTTAGGGGTAAATACAGAGGATCCCCACTTGATAAAGGTTTGGATAGAAGAATACCACAGGGTTGTTCATGGGCATATAGAGGAATGTGCAGAGTAGCATCTCAGATGAAGGATGGCTTGTGGTTTAGAATTGGTAATGGCAAAACTGTGAGCTCAGAAGGAAGCAGATGGGCAGGCTCTGAGCCAGTCAGATTCAAAGATTGCATCTGTATGGAGGAGAGGCAGCAGTTTAATAAAGTTTCTCACTTGTTAAACTTGAATGGGGAATGGAAGATGAATCTGGTGTGGAGACTCTTTGAACCGGAGGACGCTAAGAAAATCGCCTGCACATGCGTAAACATGGAGGAGGAGGATGAAGTCATGTGGAGCAGCACAACAAATGGGGAATACTCTGTTAAAGCAGGATATAAGTGGCTGAATAGAAGCTTTGAAAATGGTGTGGACAGCAAATTTTGGAAAATGTTTTGGAGAATCAAAGTCCCTCCGAAATGGATGTTACTAGCATGGAAGATTATGAACAGATCAACTAGCTGCAGATCAGAAGTCAGGAAAAGAGCAGTACAAAACCAACATGAGTGCCCCCTATGTGAGTTGGAGGAAGAGACCTCGAACCACTTGTTCAAAGGTTGTAAAATTACAAGAAGAATCTGGGCTTGCAGTCAACTAGGCATTCAGATGGGGGATAGGAGCATACAAGTGGAGACTTGGATGCGGAATATACTGTCCTACGCCATGAAGAATTCCCCAAAAGGTTGTGCAGTCCCAGAAAAGATCATAGCCATCATATGGGACCTATGGATTCACAGGAATGATATAGTCTTTAGAGAAGCCAAACCAAACCCAAGTGGGTTGATGAGCATCATAGAGCATGCAGGGCAAATTTGTGGAACAACTTTGTCCCAACTAGGTGAAGATGTAGAGGAAAAGCGTGCGGAGAAGCCCGTATAGCTGTTCTGGTCCAGGGGACAGCACGATGAAGGACAATTGATTGTGGTGACAGTGGATGGTTCGTGGAAGTCAGTTAGTAAGGGATTGGATGTTGCGGCGGTTAGATGGGTAATCACTAGGCGTGACACCTTGGTAAGAGAAGGGAGTGAGGTGGTCGCGGGAGGAAGTAGGTTGCAGTACGAGCTCCTAGCAATAAGGAAAGGGATAGAAGAAGGTATTCAAGTGTCCATGCATATCGAGATAAGAACAGACAGCAAGAGCAGCGTCCAATTCATTCAAGACAAAGCAAAAGCACCAAAGGAGTACAAGAACATCATCAGGAGAATTATACCCTTGGTTGATAGCCTAAATTATGTTTGTTTTTGTCAAGTTCCTAGGAAAATTGTAGATAAGGCCCATAATTTAGCAATCATTGCTAGAAAGGGCCTTGGGTAGCCTTGTGCTTTGTTTCCCCTTTGCCAAAAAAAATAAATAAATAAATAAAAGGTCTTTTAACCAATTTAAGATAATGTTCAACCTAACTTGAGGCAATGGCATATCATTTAAGGGGCTTACATAGTTGCATGACCCCTGAAGCAATTGGGAAATTTTGTATGTCATAAAACCTTCAACTATGATGAACTCTCACAGAGGGGGATCTTCCACCGGGGCCATTTGGGGCCCGACCCTGGTAAATTATTGTAATTAATTACTTAATGAACTTAAATAAACTTATTTTACTCATAATATATCAGGACATAGTGATTACTTTTGAGCGGGAGGTAATAGATTTAAATCCCGGTCTCTCTATTAATTTTTGGCCAAGATCCGCCACTGAACTCTCATGCATGCCAAACGACAGGTTACTATCCATCATCCATGAAAATATTGAAAATTACTTAAAATATAGGAATATTTGTCAAAAAAATACCTTTTAAAAGCATCATTTTGCGAAAAAAAAAAAACCAAAAAAAAAACCTTCTAAAAGCTTTTTAGTTAAAATAAAAAAAAATTAAAAAAAAAAAAACTCCTCATCACGTTCTTTTTTTTTTTTTTTTGCGAGAGGAAACCTATTGCCTTAATTACCCTCTAATTACACTCTAATTTCTTCCTAATTCTTCTAATTAACCTATAACCCACCAAATTACTAAATAAATAGATTTAATTTAGAGAAATTCTCTCTGGTAACCACGAACCTTTATTTTTTTCTCAGTGGTAAAGTCTGAAACTTTTAATTATCAATGGTAATCACGAATTAATACTGTTAAGCAAATGGTAACTTAAGTTAAATAATTTATTAATTCTTTAACCATGGTTTAGCTACAGAACTGCAAAAAGACACAACTACCCCCAAAAACAACCCCATGACCCCATCTCCCTTCCCCTGATTTTCTTCCTTTCTCTTTCCTCCTTCCAACATCAATGGCGGTCTCCCTACTCCCTGATTTTCTTCCTTTCTCTTTCCTCCTTCCAACATCAATCAACATAAGTAGTACTAGAATAAATCGCAACAGAAGACCGAACATAATCAACAGAAGTAATCGCAACATCGGAGGAACCCTCACACCTAAGGCTAACCAAAGGAAATCGTCGCTGAACACGGCGGTGACTTCGACTAGAAAAGTTGATCAACGAGGAGAATAGTAGGACGAAATCATCTTCAACCTCCCTGTTCATTTTTCTACAAAAACCCAAATTTTTGTTTGATTAATAATTTCTACAAATCTTAATCTTAAAGCTCGAAGAAGATAACAATGGATGATTCGAAAGTTCAACAATTGAAGCAATTCGTTGATCTCTGCAAATCCTATCCTTCCATTCTCGAGCACGCGACGACATTGATCAAAGTTGCCGAATTAGGGTTGCTTGATTGTTTGCGAATTGTTGAAGGGTGGTGGCCGAAATTGAATACTGTTAAATAATTGTATAATTATAAATTCAATAATTACGTCAATGGAGGTTTGCGTATTGTTCGTTAATGGTGGTGGCCGGAATTGGGAATTGGGTTCCTGTTCTGTTGCTTGATTGTTTGCGTATTGTTCGTTAATGGAGGTGGTTCGGGTGGTCACTACGGCGGTGGTTTAGGTGGGTGGCGCTGGTGGTAGTTGGGGCAACGTAGAGGAGAGTGAAAGAAATAAGGGCGAGAGAAAGAGGGGAAACAGGGGAAGGGGGTTTCTTGGATGTGCAACAACACAAGGCTGCGGTGGTCGGAGGTGGATGTCTCCGGCGGGGGAGGGTCTTGAGACGCCATCTCCAACAAGGGGAGGGGGCTCGCGGTTGGCTGGTGTCTGGGTGGTTGGGAAGGGGCTTGAATTTTTTTTTTATATAAATAATTTGAAGGGTACTAATGTAAATTTATTGTTACTTAACCAAGATTAACCTTGGTTAATCATTTTAAAATGTTTTATTATTAATAATGTTTCCATTTGCTTAGTAATATAAATTCGTGATTACCGTTGATAATAAAAAAATTTCAGACTTTACCACTGAGAAAAAATTTAAGTTCGTGATTACCAGAAATAATTTCCCTTTAATTTATATATATAATAAAAAAAAAATAAAAAACCACTATTCCCAACCACCCCCTCCCTCTCCTGCTTCTTCCCTTTCCCGACCCCCTTCCTTGGCAGCAACCCCCTCCCCCACCGGACCCGCCGCCCAGATCCCCCCACCTTCGACGACCTACCTACACCGTCGGCCAACCCTCCCTTTCCCCCTTATCCCCACCGGCGACCACCACCTCCTTGATTTTGAAAAAACCCTAGAAAATTGCGCGATTTGGGGCTTTTTAAATTTATGCAACTTGCTTGCAATTGATGCTTGTTTTGACTTTTATTATGTATGTATGTGATGTTAGGGTGATTTAGAAGCAAATTGCAATTGATTTGGACTTGATTTGAGCATGTTTGAGTACATAAGAGCCAAAAATTTGAAAGGAGGTGGTGGTTGCCGTCGGGGATAAATGGAAAAAGGGAGGGTCATCCGGCGTGGAGGTAGGTCGTCGGAGGTGGGGGGGAATTTAGGCTATATATATATATATATATATATATATATATATATATATATATATATATATATATATATATATATATATATATATATATATATATATATATATATATATA